TGGCCATTAGAAACGGAGGTCTTGCCCTTGGCGATGGACGAGCAAGGGCTCGTGCTAGCGGTGGACTTGGGGCTGTAAAGAACGCGAACATCGTCATCTTCCGAGTCGCTGGCGTCGCTGCTGCTTCTGCTGTGCGTCGGCGTGTATGCTGCCCGGGGGCTGGGCATCTCGTCGGGCGACTCTTCTGGCTCGAGCTGCTGGTTCATAAACTCAAAGAACTCGTCGTACTCGTTGTTGAGCGACTGGATGTTCTCCAAGTCGAGGTCCACCGACGTGACGGTCTCATCGTCCGAGTGCATGCTCAGTGTCTCGCTCGACTGGGGAACGCTCGGCAGGTGGACCAGCGGCTTCCCGGCCAACTCGAGCGCATCCATCATCGACGCCACCGAGCACGTCTCGACGTCCTCTTCTTCAATCGCAGGCAGCGCGAGGAACGATGGGCTCTGCATTTCTGCCACGTCATCTGCTTCTTCGTCGCCATTGACGTGGCTGACTTCGTCGCATGTCTCTGTCGCTGTCACCGGCGTCGCGTCCATCTCGATGACAAGCTCGGGGTGTGCAGTCAAGGCGGCCATGTAGCTCGGCTCGTGCTCGAGCTCGATCACAATCTTGGGCTGAGCGCTCTGCACGGGCGGGCCTTCGAGCTCAATGACGATCTCAGGGTGGTCCTGGCTCGACGCCCAGTCGGAGCGCGGTACAAAGCCATCGTCGTCGTCCGAGTCGTCGTCCGAGTCGCACTCGATGAGCAACTCGGGATGCTCGTTCTGCTTTTGGATTGCAATCCACGCCGGTGCATCTTCGACTACGAGCTCGGGGCGCGCCAGCACGGCGCTGACCTCGACGTCTGTCTCGGCCTCTTCGGGCGTCAGCTCGTCGCTGTCCGCCTGGTTGCTACGCCGGGCCTCGCCGCACTCGAGGCAGCTCGTGCCCACAAAGTCGGAGCTGTACCGGTGCGAGCAGAGTCGATGCTACAAGACGACCATCATGAGCCTCGGAAGGACGAGGAGCGGGAGGACGTACGAGGTGGACCATGCCATGGAGCTTCCGGGCGACGTGCTCGGGCAGGATGGGTCCGTCCGTGGCGAGGCTCTCGAAGACTTCGACGAGGAGGTCCTCGAGCTCATGCGTGCAGTCCGACATGCTCGGGCAGCGTGTTTGTGTCCCAAGCGCTCAAAACGCCGATTGTTCTCCGCGCAAATCGCCACGCGCCAGCGTTTTCCACTCGTCCGACGGTTTCATTGGCTGCATTGGCCACGATTTCAATTCTTTTTAGCCAATCTGATGCTGGTCAGTGGTTCGATGGTGCGGATGGAGCCAATGACGCGGTCGAGTGGCGACGGTATTTATATCAATAGTGTCTCAATATACGACAGTTTATTCATTTCGTCTCAATATGTCAATGACACGTGGCAACACAGAAGCTCACACAACACACAACTGAAGGGTGTGGTCAAGCCGCCACCCTGCACAAGCCTCCGCACGGGCACGCTCGCGTCGTGATGGTATGACACCATGTAGGATGCACGGAAGCGGCTTGCAGTCGAGACTGGTGCTTGGTGCAGGCCTGCCCGTTCAGACACGGGTGAGAAAAAGCGGGTGAGTGGCCTCTATTTATACAGTCTGCTCGGTTGGAACATCGAACCCGAACAACGACTGTACGTATGCCAGCAAATGCTTCTGGTTTGGCTGTGCAAGGAACCTCCACCAGTCCAGTCTTGTGTGGTTGTCTCGGCAACGTTGCAGGGAAAGGACGGCGTGAGGGTGCGAGACGCTTTCGGGACCCCATAGACGGCGCGTCATGTTCACAAGTCGACGAGTAGCCGGGTGCAGTTGATGGACAAGGTGCGGGCGCGCGATTTGATTCGTTGACAGCGGGCGTCGTTGGTAACAAGGCCAAAGAAGGCGTGGGAGGCTCGCACATCCCAGTCTGGAATCCTGGAAACAGTGGCACTTGGTGCACTGTAGTCATCGACCCAAGCAGCGACAGCCACAGATTGGACGCACCCAGTCGAACAACCAGCATGCAGCTCCTCACTGGCTACTCGCAACCTCTCGGGCAGCTTGCCCTCAGCTGCGCGTCCGTCGTTGCGAAGCAACAGTAGCCTCGACGATCACCTTCCTACAGTGTAGCTCGGCAAATTGGCCATGCCGTACTGAGGCAGGCGCTGGTTGCAGTGATAGCTCGACACGTGCATCGACTCGTTCCCACGGGAAATGGTCCACAAGTGGGTTGAGCTCGGGCGTGGACCCCATGCAACAAGCTGCGCTCGAGGCAAAACTCGGAATGATTTCTTCTTTGGCACCAAGCAGCAGCTCGCAATGCAGCTTGTTCGAGTCCTTAACAGGGTTGAAACGCTCGATGCAACATCGTCTAACGTTATTGTACCTGTGAAACACGACAATTGATGTCCATTTTAATTTAGGATGTAGGAAATAGTCTGCAGGGCCATTTTATATTGTATGGTACTAGTGTACAGTGTTGCTGTGTTGTGGTCCGCGTCGTCTTGGCCGGATGGGTCGCTATAGACTCTACTCGTCGCCGCTGTGCGAGTAGCAGCGTCCTTTGGCCTGGGCGCCCTTGGTGCAGCCTTCGACGCTGCAGCGCTTGCCGCCGCCGTGCGTCGTACAGAGCCCTTTGCCTTGGCTGCTCTTGTTGCAGCCTGGAAGCGTGCAGCGCGCGCCGCCACCATGCGCTTTGCACATGCCCCGCGACTGCACCACGTTGCTGCAGTGGGGAAACGTGCATTTTTTGCCACCACCGTGCTTGATGCAGAAGAAGCCACCGACGCTGCAGGTCGTACAGCCAACCGCGAGGCAGCGCTTGCCACCGCCATGCATCTTGCACAAGCCTCGGGACCGCACGCGGTTCACGCACGTCTCGACCGAGCACTTTTTCGGGCCCTTAAAGCTGCGGCGGGTGGGGCTCGTTGCTGCTGGAGAAGTGGTTGTCGCGGTCGGCGGTAGCACGGCAACGCTGAGGAGCCGTTCAACTTCGTCCCAGTCTTGCGGGTGAATGTAGTCGGCGTCGACGAGCGAGGCCTCGAGCTCGACCTTGAGCGGCGCGGTGTCGCTAAAGAGCCAATCGATAGCCGATATGGTTGTCATGCTGCGTCGTCAATTGGCAATTGACGAGGCCACGGACGACCGTCCACGCGCGTACACTATCGCACAGGAAAGCGGAATTGAGAATTGAGAATTGAGAATGGAACACATTTCTTCCGAATCGCTTTTGCGTGAAAAGGGCCAGCGGACTGACTCGTCAATACTCGACTTCGAGAAGAGAGTGAGCTCATGCCCAGCACCAACCAGCTCTCGTATTCTCGGCGGTCTGGTTACCACTCAGTTCTGGAAAATGCTGCCTTTGTTCAAGAGAAGAGGACTTATGTATTTCAAAGCTACTTTGAAAGAGAAGGAGGCTTGAAAGAGGACTTATGGATTTCAAAGTTACCTTGTTAATTACATTACAGTTTCTCTAGCTTGCTTTTCTACGGGTTATAATCCCCTACTATATCGTCGTCTCACGCCGTGTGCGTGGCTTGATGCTTGTCATCCGGGTACATGAGCCGTCGATGGACGCCGCGGTGCCCCGCGCCGCTCAAGAGGCAGCTCAGCGGCGACGGGCTGAATCGCGTCGGGCGAAAGTACTGCAGCGCAAAATACGAGTCTTCAAAGAGCGCGACCACCTTCTGAAAGGCAAAACTGGCGGCGCTCACGTTGCGCTCGGGGTGGATCGGGTCTTCAATCACCATGTGCGCCTTCACAAACGGCGACGGCCCTTCGTCGTGGAGACGAAAGATGAACCCGCCGTTGCGCACGCTCATGCCGCTCTTCTGGTAGTTGAAAATGCAGCCGAAAAACTCTAGCATGCGCAGCGCGTGGGCGCCAAGACACACGGGCCAGTGCGACTGGTCCGGGTCTTCGCGCTCGTCGGCCGACGTATCTTCCGTGTCGGCCTGGCTGCTCGCCACACTCACTGCCTCGAGGTGGTCGTCCTTGCTCGCTTCCTTCATCGCAATCGAGGCGTAGCTCGTCGGGGCCATCGCGGGATGGCGAGTCGCCTTGGCGCTCGAGCTGCCCACGGCCACGGCAGCGTAAGACAGTGTCGTAAACGGCTCGGTTTCGACGACCGACGCGTACGATTTCACAGTCGACAGCGCCTCGACAGGCTTGGCCGGCGCCTTTTTTGGGGACGGCGCCGTCGTCGAGGACTTGGCAGGCGACACGGGCGCCGGCGCCTCGACCTTGTCATTGACAGTGTCTTCAATCGTGATGGCTTCCGACGGCAACGACCCGGACGCATAAATCATCGCGGCTTTGAACGCCGTGGGACCAGCTCTATTGCAAGACAATGTTGAAACAGTTTTTGTCGAGGGCAAGCGACATACCGCCAAAGCTGCGAAAAGTGCACAATCATGAGCACGATCGAGTACGAGCTGACGCCGCCGCTGTAGCAGTCGTTCAGTCCGCGCTCCCGCAAAAGCTGCTTGAAGACGATGGCCAACGGGTAGAGCTCCGGCAGTTCATCCACAAGGCTCTTGACGAGATCGCTACAGTGGTCTGAGCATTTGGCACTGGCTCAGAACCGAGGGTACCGTGCCAAAAGACCGCTGTGCGTGTTGGACGACTCGAACGTAATGTCGATCGGCACGGACGAGTCGAGGCTCACGAGCTTGAGCAGCGGAATCTTGGCCGTGTCGACCATCACGATCGACTCGACCCACTTTTCACTGCCGAGTTGCGCGGCAAGGCGCTTCAAATGCACAACAGGCGAGTCGGCCGGGTCACCAACACCCTAGAGCCAAAGCAAGTCGAGTGTGTCGATATGGCAGAGACAGGACGTACGAGAATAACGAGGTCAATGTCGCTGGTGGGCAGCCAAATGCCCGTCGAATACGAGCCGTACGTGTCGACGCTGGCGTCGGGCCAGAGCTTGCGCACGCAGTTTCGCACCATCTCGATCGTCTTTTCAATGTGGATGGCCATCTCGGCCACAATGGCCTTGGTGTACCGGGCGTACTCGACAATCTCCTTGTGCAGGCTACTGCATGTGTCAGCCTCCATTGCGCACAAGGCAGCGACGTACCTATCGTGCAAATCCACAGGGAAAATGGGCTTGGAGATTTCTGCGTCCGCCTTCCAGCTCGGCTGCTTGCGGCCACGCGCCGTCTCTTGGCGCGAGATGGTCAGCGCTGGGGTGGGCTTGATCACGGGCGCGGTTAGCACAGGAGGAGGCGTCGGCGCCGCCTTCTTGCGCTTTAGAAGGTCCGGCTCAATGGTCGGCAGCACCCAGGCGCCAAGCGTGTTGGTGGGCGTCTTTTTGACCTTCTTGAGGTCTTTGTCTACGCGCCACGTCAGCGGCGAGGGCGGCGCGGCGCATGTACCCTTCTTGGAGGTCGGCTTGTTCGGCGGCATGATGACGGTCGACTTCTTCTTCGCCGTCATCGACGAGGTCGTCGGGTGCAGGCGACGACGTTGCATGACGCCAAGGGCAATGTCGGCTCTCCTGCGGCAAAACCTACTCTGAGTTCATTGGTGAGTTTGCCGGTCGGCCAGTTGGGATGGTTGGATAAAAAAATTCGACACCGACTGACTTGATTACCGAGTATTTTTATTGCAGCCGGAGCCTAGGTTTCTATGCAGCCGGCATTAAAATGCGTGTCGTGATCGCGTTGAAATAATATAAAAAGATGCGTGTCGCCAACGTATTTTTATCGTTGGCGCGCGCGGTATTTATATAAATGGGTCGCGTATTTTTTAATATTGCGCGTGGTGTTCGTGGCGATTCATTCGTGCCACTTTATATTATTATTGTCGACGCAAATTAAATATCTGCCAATGAACGGCCGAAAGCACTTGAAGTTTGTATGAAAGAGGCAGAGAGGAGTGATGTGGCTGCAGAGTTGGCTGCAAAGTCACAGGATTTGCGAGCGCCGATTACGATAGCCAGTATGCAGGATAGCACCAGGAATGGCCGTCGACGATATACAATGTAGTCCGACAGGAGGGTTGCACAGTGGGCTCGATTTACGGAGCTGCCAAGAGAGGTGGACGCCCGCGACGAGCCATCGTGCATCGTCAAGTCGGACGTTGCTGGGAGAGTTCCGTCCCAACGAGCTCGGATACAGTGTACCTGCATGGATGACAACAGCCGGTTGGTCCTGTTTCATACGCTGCAACTAGGATCGATACAGTGTATTTAGTTTAAAGGGGTTTGGTTATTCATCGTCATAGTCCATCGAGTCGTACTCCTCTTCTTCGACATTGAGCTCGAGCATGAGCGTCTTCATCCGACCAAGCACGTTCGACGCCGCCGTGACCGTGATCGACGAATGCCGCTTCATGGCCACAAGGGCAATGTCGCGCTCGCTCGTCTGCATCGGCTCGGACTCGTCCAGGGCGAGGACGATGCTGCCGTCGGCGACGTCGTCGAGCTGCGCTTGGACCTGCGGCGTCAAGTGCTGCAGCCACGCTTGCTTGGTCGACACTATACCATGCAAAATGGAATCCCACAATTCTTCATCTCGAACACGAATACCCAAGGACGAAAATTGCGCCATGTCGACGCCCAAAATGCGTTCGTGGAGGTGCGGCAAGATTGCGTGGAGCCCTTCGTCCAGGAGCGAGTACGCGCCTTGGTGCACCTGGAAGGCTGCCGTGCCCGCCTTGTGGGCGTTGAGCTTCCCGGTAAAAGCACGCAGCACCTACAACTTGACGTTAGGTCTCAGGATCCTTGCAGACGAGTACCTCGGCCACGGCCGGTGTCACATAGTGCACGTCACGCGTCTTGGAGATCTTGACGTGCTCGAGCAGCTGGTCCTCCGAGAGGTCCAGCGCAAACCGCTCCACGAGCTGTTCATAGTGCTTGGGCTCAATCGCGGAGTAGAGACCGATGCGCTTGACATCCTTGGCCTTCTTGGCCGTCGCAGGCGTGTGCGCCGACGGCATCGCGGGCCCGACAGCGACGCGCGCGTGCTCGGCCGTCTTTTGGACGACAGCGACGAAGAAGCCGTGCGTGTCATTGTCGTGCGGCAAGACGCGGCGGCACCGGTCGAGGTGGAAGCGCGCGGCTTCGGCCTTGGTCGGCGCAAACATCGACGGCCGGAGCTTCAACGAGCGGCGGTGCGCCTCGGACGCAGCCTCGTACGACGCAAATGGCGTCATCTCGTCATTGCAGACCTTCCACGCGCTCACGCCGGCGCGCGTCTTGAGCTCGGGCACACGTGTCGACGCGTCGACAAGCTACGTCGCGCTTGAGTCTCATTTGCAGCATCGTACGCTCGTACCTCGTAGGCACCGTTGCTGGAGCGGAGGAGCTGCGCAACAATTGCTTCGTTCTCAATCGGGTGGAACGAGCGCGTGCAGTAGACCATGTGACCACCGACCTAGCGAGTTGCGACTCGTCATCGCGCAGGGCACGGCCAAACGAGTACCTTGAGCGAGTGCATCGCTTTCTGCGCGAGCTCGAGCTGGGTCGCGTGGGTGGCAAACGCCGACGTCGGTGTCCAGTTGCGCCACTTTTCAGGGTACTTGCGGATCGAACCGTCGCCCGAGCACGGCACGGAGCAGAGCACACAGTCAAAGAGGAACACGTCGGCAGCTTCCGGAAACTCTTCCGTCTAGGAAAAACGTGTATAAATGAAAATACCAATCCGATGCGAACCTTGTGGGCAGTGACAAGGACGTTGGACGCGTTGCCAACCGTATGGGCGACGACGCGAGCCGCCTTCGTCGCGCTGGCGGCATCCGGTTCGTTGATGACGAGCACACCCGTCGGCGCCTTGGACTCGGTGTCGAGCATACGCTCGACGAAAGGCGCTGCCCGACTCGCGCCCGACCCGTGCAAGTCGAGGACCTAATGCCACATTCACGTCACCTTTTAGAGCAAAACAAGTGCAAGAATACGCTGTCGTGCGGCTGGACGTCCAGGAAGCGGGGCAGGAGCATGTTCATGGCTTCCTGGCGCAGGACCGTCCCGATGAGCGTCTGGTCGCGAATAAAGTTGTTGATCGCTTGGAGCCGCGGTGTCTTGCGCAAGAGTTTGCTGTCGACGTTGACCTAAAAGGCCGATGAGTCGATGGACTCAGGACGCGTATCGACATACCTTGAAGATCGAAGGGTCGTACGCCACCGCACCGAGGGAGAGCGTGCGCTCGCCACCCGTCGGCAGCTTGAGCACGGCGCCCGTCACGTCAAAGTCGCAGTCGAGACTGCCCTTGGCGATTTCGCTCAAGCTCGGGAACGTTTCTACACATGACGTGGGTCGACCGGCCAAACGCGGGCTTGGGTACCGTTGATACGAAAGTACACGGACGGCGGGCTCTCGAGCACTTGGCTGAGCGTCTTCCACTCGTCCTTGGGCAGCTGGAAGAGATCGCCATAGTAATCTTCAAAGAGCGTGTTTTCACGGCCAAACTTGCGCCACACGACCTTCTCAGATCGGATCGCCTTTTGCTGCATCGTCTTGAGCTTGCGCTGCTCGAGCGACTCGCCGGACACCGCCTGCTTCTTGGACGGCGCAGGCTCGTTCGCAATGTATACGGGCTTGTCCGACTTGGTCTTCTTGTTGGCCTTGTTCTTCTTGGGCTTGGGCGCCGGCTTGGCCTCGCCCGTAAAATCGCGCACCGGCGCGTTCTCGAGCGATGCCAGCGGCACCGCCTGCTTGAAGTTGACGTGCGAATCGTCGTCGCTCGAATCGCTGTAGTACGCCTTGCGCTTGACGGCGCTCGCTTGCGGCGCGCCACCCTTCTTGCCCTTCGCCATTGTTGGTCAGCACAAACCAGAAATGATTGGCTCTCCCATCCGACGAGCTCGCTTTTGATTTGTCGGTTTGTTAACGTGTGAACGAGTGGAATTGTACGCTAATTGCGCAAATATACGTAAAAGTGGCGTAAATACGGTAGCCTCCGTATAGGAGTCTATAAAATCGCTAGATAGCCCACTGGCCCTATGCCCCACATAAACCAAAAAGCTCGACTACACCCTACCTGAAAAACGCGGGGTTAACCCTAGTTATTAAATTGTCTCGGAAGGATCTCAGCAGCGGATAGTACGAGGTGTACCAATGGAATTGCTGTTCTAATCTGTGGCTGCTCGCCGAGGTTCTTGACCTTCCGCGCTCGCTTTGCGTCCTTCCCACAATTCCTGGACAAGCAAACCGCGGCGGCACTCGGGTTGGGAGACCAATGGACGAAGCCGCCAAGCAGGGAGGGATTGAGATATATAGAAAGGGCAATTTCAGGCGTATTCGCTGTAGACCGTGTGGGTAGAACGAACTCCTACTTGAGCAACAGCGACTCTCGCACTCGCTCCGGGGATGCACTTCGTAGCCCGTGTTTATGTAAATGACTGAGCCCAAGCCTTGGGTAAAAGTTCGAGTCCACGCCAGCAAGATTTCATTCGGCCGAAGCATGGGAGCATACTACTCGTATTATATTGGGTGTGGAACCATTCTATAGTCGACTGCATGAGATGCGTTATGTACCATCCTCCAAGGGCGAATGGCTCATGTTCCCTCTGATCGGAAATGGGTTGTCAGTAGACGCGACGTTAGCGATGATCACCCTCGGATGTGTTGCAAATGCGTGCAAAAGCGGTAAGATCAGCGCGCAACGTCAACAGATGAGGAATAAGTTGCCTCACACATGACTTGTCAAGACGACGTACATGCCCGTCAGACTGTGCCCGTCTATATATCCTACAGTAGGTCGACGCATGTTTGATCTGCGCTGCGTCTAAGCTCGACTGTTTGAGAGATGCAGCTCAAGGACACTGATATGTTTGTTGCAGAAGAAGCTCGTCTTTTAATGTGCCTTGACAAGCCTTGCGCAGTACCTCGAGGCAGTGGTCACAACCCTTGCTCGAGGTTAGGTGACGGTATACTAGGGTTAGGTGTTCTTACAACTGCTCGTACACGCTGCTCTACGCATCGCAGCACCGCATACGCGTGGCGCTAGCCTTCAACGAGCCACTTGTAGCGACATTTTCAGTAAGCAGCGATGCCCGAGAATTGGAATGGTGTTTTCCATCGAGGTTCGGGCTAAAGGATAATACGACCGGATACCAATTTCGTATCCGGCAATACCGGCGCACCCAGAATGCATGTAAAACTCCGAGCTTTCTAAGTTTGAAGCGTTTGACGAGCCTACTTTCATTCTATTTCTACATACATGCATGTAATCGCCAGTTGCGGCCATGGCGGTGGACGCGTTGGAATACGTCCGCCGGTCCATTTGGTTCTATCGGAGGTGGCGTCTCAAAATATTGAGAGCGCGCTGCTATCAACATTGCGGCGGAGTCGAGATGGACCCATACATGCTCTCCAAATGTGAGCTTGATGGCCCTTCGTAGTTTTCAGGAGACGCAACCTATTCTTGATGTCACAAACCCTCGCACACATGTCCGGTGGTGTCGATAGTAGCGCCCCGAACGACCCACGAAATTTTTACACCATGATTACACCGCCAGAAGCCACGTTTTACGCGTTTTCATCCTTGGCGTTGCGTATTTTTGTCATGTAAAACTTGCTGAGGAAAGCGTTGGCCAGCAAACCTCTCGCGATTGGAGTTCTCCATTTTTGAAAATCTAGTCAGCAAAAACAGCATGGCAACGAAATTTTAGAGTTTTCACGGTAAACACACAGTTTCGCCAAATTGGACAATCGCCACTGGACGAAATCGATAGTACTATATTAGTCGACGTTGTACCCATTAAAGTGACTGCGGCACAGACCTTCCGTCTTTGCAATGTGCTTGCAACCAGACCGCTGGCACTGACGATGCTTTGCTTCGTAATAATAGTGTTTCATGCAGAGACCCCGCGACTTGGCGGCCAGAGTGCACTCGGGCATCGAGCAGACCCGCTTCGAAGCCATGACTTTGGTGATGGGCGAAATATCCTGAGCGGCGTCGACTTGCTTGGCCGACAGTCGCACCACGTCGTTCGTACGGAGCTCGCTCTCGATCGTTGGGTGGGTCGGAGCGACGGCCCCTTCCTGGGTCATCTCGCCCGCCACTTCCGGGGTCACCTCAGCCGCCACGTTGGGTTCGCCAGCATCGGGCTCATCAGGCTCACCGAACTCATAATCGAGGTCAGGCGAAGCTACGAACGCGTCGTCGTCGGCAGCGTCGATGGGCACCGAGGCATCCGCCGAGCGCGTAGGATTCAGGCCGAACGGATGGAACGACGCCACTTGGCGAGGTCGGCCGCGCGGTCGGCCGACCGGCCGCTTTACGACCAAGCTCTTGCGGAGCGGCAGCATTTTGAAGACCGACGGTCGCTTCATGCGCACCTCGGTCGAGGGCGGTGGCTTGGCAAGAAGATGCAAAAGGGCGTCGGGCTCCGTGACGGCAAAGGTCACCATCGACTGGCCGTCCGCGTGCACGCTGAGCGCGTCCCGCTTGCAGCGAAAACAAAAGTCCACTGGGTATCGCTTCCAGGGCTGGAGCTCCAGAGACCGAATGTGCTGCGTGCAGTAGAAATTGCGGACTTGGGGCGCACCGCACGTCTCAACGGCACAGAGGTCGAGGGCGACGTACATGTGGCTGCTAGGCTCAGGCTTGCCACCACATGCAGAGCACACGACAAGCTTCTTCAACTGGCCAGCGCCGAGCTGCGTGCCAGCGCTCAAGATATTCATCACGCGCTCGGTCGGTCTCTCGGCTGGAAATTTTGAATGCTATCGCCGCGGCCGGTTCATATTTTTATCCGGATAACAAAACGGTATACGGACTCCGCCTGCCACTCAGCTGCAGCACCAACGACACAACTCCATTGTCTGGAGCGATTTTCTACTTGGTAGGATGCTGGGATTGCTTACTGTCATGAATACGTTGGCCGCACATAGCGTCGGCTCTGGAGTTGACAGCAACGCGATTTCTAGTCTTGCCACTGTACTAGTAGTACTATTTTAGCACTTTTAAAAAGCCTGTTCAGGGACTTGTCGAAACAAGACTCGCAACCAACGGTTTTATGGTTCCAGATTTGCCCCTGGATGACGACAAAAAGCTCAAGAAAGAAATGAAACCTCTATTAGAGCGTTGACGAACTTTTCATGCCACGAGACAGAATTAATTCTCAACAAGCAATAAGTCAATCCAAGAGTGGGGAATGACTTCCGGATGCTCGAGCCGATTGTGTGTTACTACAACGTATACGTGCACTACCAGCACATGGAGAAGGGTTTCCGTCTTGAGTGCTCTCTGCATGAGAAAGCAGCAACAAGAAGTGGGACAATGAAGCCACTAACTCGACAATCTATGTTTCACACAAAACGAACATTGCATGATGTCTCTTGACCACGGGATACTCCAACTTCGGATGCCATTTTTAACGGAGGTAACCACCAAAGAGGGTAAGGGGTCCTACCCTCCACCCCTCTTTCGACGTAAACAACAAGGGATCAATTGCTCATAAATCAACTCGGCAATTTCACTGGAAACGTACTGGGCTTGGCTGGATCGTGCCTGTTGGCAGCACACCGAGATTGAATAATATCGCTGCTCGCTGGGTTTCGAGTCGCCGTCGATGCTGGTCTGCTTTGTAGAGCTGGATCGCAATGTGGCGTAATCGGGGGGCATGGCTCCAGCAGCTAAAGACGCGATCGAACCACGTGATGGGCGGCTCACGTCCGTCGTGTGTCTGCATGAAGTGGCGGCACGCGTCGATGGTTTGGCCCCGGCGCTTGATTTGGTACCATTTCCAGCGCCCAAGCGTTTTGACACGCACCTTGTTTTGGAATCGAAAGATCGGGTAGAAAATGAGCCCAAACTGGATGCTAAGGAGTCGAAACTCGCGCCGGTTGAGCTGGTCGTCCTTGTCTTCATCAAAGTGTTCCATCGCACGCATAAAGTTGCCGTTAAAGAAGGTATCGTTGCGCACTTGAATCGCGCTGCAGAGGTTGCGAAGCTCATTGCTATCAAGCCCGCCTAACGGGTCCGCAAATTGTCATCCCAAGATAACAGTACGGCGATGCGTACCCGACTCGTCCTCGTCGAACGTCTCGAAACAAAATTCAATCACGCCCTTCTTGTCCATGCAAGCAAACTTGACCATAATTTCGACAAAATCATCGAGCGACAGCTTCTTCGGGTCGCTTCGCTGTGGCGCGAGGCGCAAGATGCCCCGTGTATACTCGTTTTGAGGCGACTCGAGGAGGTAGTAAAACTCCAACTAGGATGAAATGAATGACGAGGTCGTGGGAACTATGCAGTACGAGGTTGATGACGCCCCTAGAGACCGTCAGCGCCCGCGTCAACCCACACGAGTGAGAGACTTACGAATGTGTCGTGTCAATGTCATCAAACACTGCCACTAGACGTTTCATCTCACCGTGCGTCATGCCCGAGCCGTAGCAAACGTCTTCCGTGCCACGCCGTGTGACGCGTGGGCCGTA